GACGGGGATCACGGGAGACCAGTGCCGACCGATCGCTCATCTCGCCATGGCGCAGCGTCGCGTGCTCTTTCGCGAAGCCGTCCAAGCGCACTGGTCAAGAAAAGCTTTCCGACGCACTCAGCATTTTGGGCGAGGCGGAAGAGGCTGATAGCACGGCTCAACAAGCGGCCCAAAAAGCCTGTCGCCTCCACGCGGAAGACCTCGCAGAATTGCGGATTGGCTCTGAAGAAATCCATATCCAAGGCAGGGTGATTCGATCTCTGCATATGATTCGTGAGGGCCTCCGCTTAGAACAATCCGCGCTCTGGGATGACGAGAACCTGCTCATGGATCTGGTGTGGGACTCGGTTGATGCCTACCATGAAGCCATATTTGTCTCCGATGGAGCCGACCTTGCACAGGAAGCCGAGGCCATTGCGCGCCTTGGCATCATTTATTCCAAGGTCGATTGAGTTCATGGCACGAAAGACACCCGCAATCATGGTTGCTTCGATCCCCTCATGAGAGCTGGTTATCGCATGGCCTGTTGCAGATTCTCAAGCAGCCTGTCCGCGGCAAAAACTACTGCGTTAAGGCTTTGAACTTGGCCAGCTCGCTTCACCCGCGCGTCTTCACCTTTGTTCCGTGGCATCAAACTGCTTCAGACATTGTGAAGGCCTACCAGGAGGAGCTTGTTGCACGAGAACGTAGTGCATGGGAAGCAAAGCGCAAGCCTTACTTGGAAAAATTGGCGCCCGAATTGAAGAAGCTTGAAGAAGCCTCGACCGAAGGCCTGGACAGCCTCATCGACATGATCTACGACAAGCACCCCCCATTGAACAAGAAGCATACCAAGCCCACTGCCGAGGGGAAAAAGCGCATCCAACACGCCATTCGGCACTACCACCCCGACAAGGGCAATGTCTCTGAGGAGACCAAAGTGCTGCTCGAGGAAATCACCAAATTGTTGACGGCCCACCTGAACGCCGCCAAGGGGTTGTAGCCGCCGTGCCTAGCCAAGGCAGCAATGCGCCTCGCGCGGAATGATTTGCGCCACAGCCGGCATTGAGTTGGCGTATGCGTGTTCTCAAGTCCTTGCGCTCTTTTTGCCTCGTTCTCGTGTAGTCCATCTTGTTTTGTTTTGTTGTTTTTTTCGTTTTTCCAAAGTGATGTCAAAGCGTAATCTGAACACCGATCGGTGCGGGGGACAGCACCCTTATCCACGCACCCCACAAGATTTCAAGTGTGTGCACACACCCTACCCAACAGATAAAAAGCCGGCGCTATGTCCCCGGGACGGTGGCACTGGAAGGTCATTCACATGCATGTCAGTGTTTTTTTCAATTTTTTCTCAAAGGTTCATATTTTTTTTTGTCTCTGGCAGTGCAGTGCCAAGTCAATCAAAAGGCTCAAACCGGCCCGAATAGAAAACGTGCAACAGATACACACAAGGGGGATAGAGGCAAGATGAGAGAGAAGGCATTTACTTGGAGGTCATCATGCGGACAAACTCGTTGTAGTCGACCTCGCCGTCACCATCAATGTCGGCCTCACGGATCATCTCATCGACTTCCTCGTCGGTGAGCTTCTCGCCGAGGTTGGTCATGACATGGCGGAGCTCAGCAGCAGAGATGCGGCCGTTGCCGTCCTTGTCAAAGACGCGGAAGGCCTCGCGGATCTCCTCCTCAGTGTCAGAGTCCTTCATCTTGCGGGCCATCATGGTGAGGAACTCGGGAAAGTCAATGGTGCCGTTACCGTCAGCATCAACCTCGTTGATCATGTCCTGAAGCTCAGCCTCAGTGGGGTTCTGGCCCAGGGAGCGCATGACGGTGCCGAGCTCCTTGGTGGTGATGGTGCCATCGCCGTCCTTGTCGAAGAGGCTGAAGGCCTCCTTGAACTCGGCGATTTGCTCCTCGGTCAACTGATCAGCCATTGTGTTGGTTCAAAAATCTAGTTTGATCAAAGTCGGAAACAGTCGAAAATGAGTCTCATCGAGTACAGCCTGGTTCAAGAAAGAATGATACGGCAACCGCGAAGCGATAAAAGAAGCAGTAGCACGGGTTGGAAGAGACTTTCAGATGTGGGTGGGCAGCAACACAGCACAATCAACCAAAACAAAGCTCTCAAGTTGCGCAGTGGCGCAGGGAAGCGAAATAACGCCCACTGATCGCAAGGGATGGGGGGGGGGGGGAGGGGAAGGTAGACGTGGAAGGGAACCCATTATTGAAAGACGAGACAGTTCAGCGGTTCAATTGCACTTCTCTCACAGGAGAGAACGATAGAAAACAGGAAGGGAAATATCCAAAAGAAAAATGCCACTCACGGTCAGCGGGACCGTACTTTTAATCCGGTGGCTAAACACACCCAGAGTGTACGAGAGGGTTCCTCGACGGGCAGCGGCAGGTGCACATCAGGTTCTGGCAGGTGGTCGATGCTAGCACTCCAGTGCTATCATCCAAATCCTGAAGTGTGGCGGGAAGGGAGGAAAGGGCATTCGCTATTTCCCATGTCAAATTCTCGACCTGTGTTGTAGAATTCAACTACAACACAGGTCGAGAAAGTGACGGGGTGAGCGGAATGTGCACTCCGCCACACCAGCCACACAGCAAGGCTCGTTCGTCCTCCAAGATCAACTGACAATTGCTGGAACCTCTCCCGATTCATAAAAAGCACTTTTAATGCGAGACTGAGCCACAGCAGCGGCCTCGGCCTGAGCAACGAGTTCAGGGTTCTTGTATAGATAGACAACGACTGCCAAAATCGTGGCGAGGAGCCATCCCACGTTTCGGTTGAGGCAGTCAAAGAGGCGGTCAAGCGACGTGTCCTGGTGATGGTACGTGGCGTAGCCCAGACCGATTACAAATGCAATAAAGACCAACAGCAGCACGACTAAAACACCAATTAAGTCGCACTTAATCTTCTTCAGCATAGCCAGCGCCGGCTTAGAAAGGGGTGGGTCAGCCATCGCCGGCTGAGAAAGGGGTGGGTCTGGTCTCGCTGACACGTACTCATCCACGTCAATCATCGCGACCGTCAGCAGAGATGTCAGAAAGGATTCCGCTACCAAATGTGAGGACTGGTTCTGACTTGCCTTTCACATCCCTGACGCGTTGTTTTCCCTCCGCCGCGACTCCTGACCCATCACACAATGCCAAATCAGCCTGATGGAACCATCGCCACCCTCTCCTCCGCGAGTCAATCTTTCATGTTCTACCTTGACGGTGACCGGAAGCAGGCCTACGGGGCTCTGCAGTGCGTTAGTGGAGACCAATGGAAACTGGGCAGTCTTGACTTGACCAAGGATGCTGCTGAGAGCACCAAAGACAGGCTCGTCCTTCGCGGCGTCATCGGGGCTGAGCGGGTCAAACTGATCATTCCCAGCAACAGCGCACTCTCAAAGATGGCACGCGACAAGGGCCTTCAGCACGTCTGCCCAATGTACAAAGGCGCGCCCGGCGAGCTTGAGTTCCAGCGGCACCTTTTCATGTAGCTGACATGTCGAGCTGTTTTGCACCTCCTGGCCCTTTTTGTGCTTGGGCTGGTAATAATTGAGCAAGCTTGTTCCCTTGCCGTCCATGGCTCGGCTCGTTCCATCCTTCTCAACGTGTGAACACACGTCTTACACGGCTTATGCCTCGCACTGATGGGGAGCCAAGTCTCCTTCGGCAGGAAGACATGGGGGGAGGTTGAAATGATGGCCTGCCGCACCTCTCTATGATCTGGAACAACAGCAATCTTCCTCGCCATCACGCCGCAAGACATGATGCAGGGCTGGGACAGGGGGGAGGCGGGGACGCGGGACGGCAGAGGACGGCACCCCCCCGCTGGCGCCAAACGGAAGCCCGCCGCCACGAACGGTGGGGACGCCCTGCCGGTGCTGGACGGCAGCCCAACCGACAACATCGTCGCACAGAACTTTACATCGCCATGATTCGGAACCTCCAAAAGAGTGTCAGGGACCACCGCCCCTTTGCATTGGAAGCCCACGACGTGCGTGCTTGATTTCCCCCGATGTAATGTCATTGATGCCGGTGGCGGAGGAACGTTGCCACAAGGAGAAGCCCGTGCAGAGCGCCGTGTAAGGATAGTCCCCGATGGAGCCGACCTTGCACAAGAGGCCGAGGCCATTGCGCGCCTTGGCATCATTTATTCCAAGGTCGATTGAGTTCATGGCACGAAAGACGCCCGCAATCGTGTTTGCTTCGATCCCCTCATGAGAGTTGGTTATCGCATGGCCTGTTGCAGATTCTCAAGCAGCCTGTCCGCGGCAAAAACTACTGCGTTAAGGCTTTGAACTTGGCCAGCTCGCTTCACCCGCGCGTCTTCACCTTTGTTCCGTGGCATCAAACTGCTTCAGACATTGTGAAGGCCTACCAGGAGGAGGTTGTTGCACGAGAGCGTAGTGCATGGGAAGCAAAGCGCAAGCCTTACTTGGAAAAATTGGCGCCCAAATTGAAGAAGCTTGAAGAAGCCTCGACCGAAGGCCTGGACAGCCTCATCGACATGATCTACGACAAGCACCCCCCATTGAACAAGAAGCATACCAAGCCCACTGCCGAGGGGAAAAAGCGCATCCAACACGCCATTCGGCACTACCACCCCGACAAGGGCAATGTCTCTGAGGAGACCAAAGTGCTGCTCGAGGAAATCACCAAATTGTTGACGGCCCACCTGAACGCCGCCAAGGGGTTGTAGCCGCCGTGCCTAGCCAAGGCAGCAATGCGCCTCGCGCGGAATGATTTGCGCCACAGCCGGCATTGAGTTGGCGTATGCGTGTTCTCAAGTCCTTGCGCTCTTTTTGCCTCGTTCTCGTGTAGTCCATCTTGTTTTGTTTTGTTTTTTTTCGTTTTTCCAAATTGATGTCAAAGCGTAATCTGAACACCGATCGGTGCGGGGGACAGCACCCTTATCCACGCACCCCACAAGATTTCAAGTGTGTGCACACACCCTACCCAACAGATAAAAAGCCGGCGCTATGTCCCCGGGACGGTGGCACTGGAAGGTCATTCACATGCATGTCAGTGTTTTTTTCAATTTTTTCTCAAAGGTTCATATTTTTTTTTTGTCTCTGGCAGTGCTTGCAGTGCCAAGTCAATCAAAAGGCTCAAACCGGCCCGAATAGAAAACGTGCAACAGATACACACAAGGGGGGATAGAGGCAAGATGAGAGAGAAGGCATTTACTTGGAGGTCATCATGCGGACAAACTCGTTGTAGTCGACCTCGCCGTCACCATCAATGTCAGCCTCACGGATCATCTCATCGACTTCCTCGTCGGTGAGCTTCTCGCCGAGGTTGGTCATGACATGGCGGAGCTCAGCAGCAGAGATGCGGCCGTTGCCGTCCTTGTCAAAGACGCGGAAGGCCTCGCGGATCTCCTCCTCAGTGTCAGAGTCCTTCATCTTGCGGGCCATCATGGTGAGGAACTCGGGAAAGTCAATGGTGCCGTTGCCGTCAGCATCAACCTCGTTGATCATGTCCTGAAGCTCAGCCTCAGTGGGGTTCTGGCCCAGGGAGCGCATGACGGTGCCGAGCTCCTTGGTGGTGATGGTGCCATCGCCGTCCTTGTCGAAGAGGCTGAAGGCCTCCTTGAACTCGGCGATTTGCTCCTCGGTCAACTGATCAGCCATTGTGTTGGTTCAAAAATCTAGTTTGATCAAAGTCGGAAACAGTCGAAAATGAGTCTCATCGAGTACAGCCTGGTTCAAGAAAGAATGATACGGCAACCGCGAAGCGATAAAAGAAGCAGTAGCACGGGTTGGAAGAGACTTTCAGATGTGGGTGGGCAGCAACACAGCACAATCAACCAAAACAAAGCTCTCAAGTGGCGCAGTGGCGTAGGGAAGCGAAATAACGCCCACTGATCGCAAGGGATGACACAATGAAGAAAGGGAGGGGGGAGGGGAAGGTAGACGTGGAAGGGAGCCCTTGCTCATGATCTAACTGTGCTCACCACAAACTGTGCAAAGGACGACCATAAAATGAACCTCTTGACCACCATCACCCATAAAAACGTATGCAAGCTTGACATGACACACCACCAGCTCTTGAAGAAAAAATCACCTCACGAGCGCTGACTGCTGAGTTGGCGTTAACAACCACAAGATGTTTTGTACACACGGCAAAATAGTCAAAACAGCCAAGAGACACAGAACGATCGGCAAGCCTGCCAGATCTCTCAATGTTGGGCACGGCATTCAGCCAAGCAAGCCGTTGAAGCACAAAAGACAAGGCTCGGCATCGCCGTTGGGTTCACTCCCGCGTGTGTGTTACTGTGATTGAACACACAGACCAAAGACGAAAAAAGAGCCATGGCAATGGTAGACGGCCGATCGCGCACTGATTCAACAGGGTACAGCTTCACCCCACCAGCCAATCAAACGGTACATTGACAAGGTTGTGCGTGTGCAGTGTGTGTACATAGTGCCCGCTGGGCGCTGCCATCAGAACCGGCACGCCGTCAGTGACACGACACGACGTTGCTCGTACCTGAGAGATAGAAAAATACTCTCTCTGTCTCAGCCGTTGTCACTGGGTCACGCTTCAGAGAATGAGCGGGGCCGTGGGATGAGGCGAAGAGATGTGAGGGGGTGGATGTTCAAACTTGGGCGTTTATAAGTGAAATTCCAATGAACATCAGAGACACTGACGAAACCTTGCGTGCCATCCAGAGAAAGCGCGCGATAGAAGTCAGAGAGAGAGAGACAAAAGGCGTTTTCGTTTCCACACACACACACACACACACACACACAAGTCGTAAGGAAAAAGACCCCCAACCGTTCAACCCTAAGAGAGAGAGAGAGAGAGAGATAAAGCGGACAAGGGGAAGGGTCAAGAGGTTGGGAGAGGTTTCGAGAGGGTGCGAGAGGATGCAGAGGTGTGATGATGAAGTTCAGTCAGGTTGGCTTGAAGTTGCTAAGGTGGGAGAGACGTGACCTTTGCGTCAGTGAGGTGCAGAGGCAAAAAACGTGTGTGTGTGGTGGATGCAGGGAGTGGTTTTTTTTGGGACGAAATTTGCCATAAATTTGAATAGTTTGAGCGGGAAAATTAAGTCTGCACCACGGATAGGACCCCTGCATCCTGCAGCAAGCCCCGTCGACCCGGACGCGATTATGTGTATGGCTTTAAGAGGGACTTTTCTCTTTAAATCTCTTCTGATTTTGGCTGAGGATGTAGCAGGATCTGACTTTATACTTTGGTATTTTACTTATTGCTGTATGTGATGTAAAATACCTTTAGAGTTCCAGCTTGACCAGCTGCCTGGCCTTGTCAAGGGCGTCTTGAATACTTCTTTCAGTGTGTTAATGTAAACATTGGCTCTCCTATTTAAATTATCTCCGAGCGGATCTTGCATCCAACATCTGCGGACATGTTCGTAGAGAACAAACAGAGACAACCACCAAGCTCAGAGAGTGAGCAGAATGGGTCCGCATCCCTACAGCTTAAAACCAACCAAAATGCAGAGAATGTGTTTCTATCGGCGCAGAGAGAGAGACGGAACGGAAAATATCGACGCAAGGTCGCACATACAGGGCGCGCACGCTTTCATGAATCCATTTCCTCTCTCTCTCTCTCTCGCTCTCACTCTCTCTCTGTTTCTCTCTCTCTCTCTCTCTGAGACCGTTGGCGTACTCGACACCGTCTGCCTGCGGGAGACTCGGCATAGACGCCATGGTGATACCATGGGGGCGTCCAGGTCTCGATGGGGTTCTCCTCAAACACGCCTGCCTGGTTTCTGCGGTGATTGTGCCGTTTGGCTTGGTGCTGGCAAAGCTCAGGGAGCGTGCCAAAGCCTATCAACTGGAACTCCTCGCTCGGGCCGAAGAGCCGGAGCCCGTGCCCGTGCCCGTGCCCGCTGGGCATGACTCGGCCACCAGGGCCCATGGACCTCGCATCGTCATTCTGGGTGGGGGCATCTCGGGCTTGAGCGCAGCCTTTCTGCTCAAGGCCCGCCAACCCGATGCACACGTGACTATTCTCGAGGCCTCCAGCCGCTTGGGCGGAAACATGCACACCCATGCCCTGCAGCTGCCCGACAAGGATGGGAGCGCACACCACATTGAGCTGGGCCCCCGATCCCTTCGCACCACCACCCCCGCCGCCAAAGCCGCCCTCCAGGTCCGCCACCTCACCATCGCAGCTCCACCCCGCTGCCAACCGGCTTGATGCATGCCTTCACACGCCCCCGTTGCTGCTCCATGCTCACCCAGATGATGCTGGCGCTCGGCCTCGGCGACAAGTTGACGTTTGCTGAGCGAACGACGCGAGGACGCCGCTACGTGTACAACTTTGACCGTCGTGGGCTGCTCGAACTGCCCTCCTCCTTCCTTGCCTTTTTGAAGTTTGCCTTTGAGTACAACCTCCCTCTTTGTCTGGCCCGCGATGTGGCTCACTTTGGTGCCAGTCTCTGGGCCGCCCTGTGCAATCGATCCAACCACACCGCCCGCGTACGCGCACTCAACGACATGACCGTGGACAGCTTCTTTCGTACACACTTTTCTGACCGCATTGCCGCCGAGCTGGGATCGGCACTGGTACGCGGCATTTTCAGCGGCTCCTCGACCAACCTACTGCTCAAGCATGCCTTTCCCAGCCTATGGCAACTCGTGGCCGCCTACGACTCGGTTGTGGTCGGCGCTCTGCTCAACCCCTTTCTCCATCTCAGCGACCACTTTGCCCTTCAGCCCGAGCTACACATCCCCACCGCTGGCGTCGACCCCACCACCGCTAGCGAGCTTCTAGCCCGGGCGCGCCGCGAGCGCGTTGCCTCCGTCCAGGGCGGCCTCTCCACCATCATTGACACTTTGGCCGACCGCCTCCGAGCGCAGGGCGTTGTCATTCGCACCAATGTCGTGGCCCATGCCCTGCTCAGCTCCATGGACAACCCCAATCAGGCGGCCGTGCTTTGTGCTTCAGCCCACGAGCCTGCGGGTCCCTGGGAACAGCTCGACGCCACCGACATTATTGCCACCCTGCCCCCACCAGCTCTCGCATCCCTGATCGAGCAAACGCTCGAGCTGGACACCCAGCCCAGCAGCCAGGCCCCACGCCCAACCCGAACCCTTCCCGACGGATTCGAGCCTGCTTTCACGGCACCCCGTTTGGCATGGCGTGCGCGCGGCGCCGCGACTGCTCTCCGCCGCATGCCCTCGCTCTCCCTGGCCACTGTGACGCTGGTGTACCAGAACCAAAGTTTTGGAAACCTGGTACATCGCGCAGACGCTCAACCGGGCTTTGGCATGCTCATACCAGAGGGTGGTCTGGGTCATCCCAAGCCAACCTTGGGGGTGGTCTACGACTCGCTCGTGTTTCCAGAGCTGGCCGGGCGTCAACACACGGTCCTCACGTGCATGTTTGGTGGTGCTGACCCTGCAGCCCAAGCCCGGGTGACCGGCATGCCGTCCAGCGAGCTGGCCGATGTGGCGCAGCAAGAAGTCAACCGATTGCTGGGCGTCAAGGCCGTGCCCAGCCTCTGTGTGCCAACGCTTTGGCGCGATGCCATTCCCCAGTTCACCAAAGCCTATGATCGGGCGCGGGCTCAAGTGGAAGAAGACTTTTTGGGGCCCCATCTGCCCTGGCTTCAGATTACTGGCAAAGCCTTTGGCACGGGCGTCGGCGTGAATGATTGTATTTATAGCGCCATGCGCACGGCCGAGCAGACTCTTGCTCGGTGGCATGACCGGGCAGCCCATGCCTGAGCCAGAACTAGCCCCGGAACGAACCCCAGTGTTCACGAACATCATCCTGTTCATGGTCGTCCCAGGGGCATATGTGAGCTTCCCAATACACACCCATTCCAGCGAAGGAATGGTGGTGATCAGTGGCCTGCTAAGGCGTTCCTGCCAAGTTAGAATCCCCTCAGATGTGTGTACGAATAATCGATCAAAGTCAACGATTCACGTGTCAATCCTCTCTTGGCAATCTTGGAAAGAGACGGGCAGACTCTAGGGAGATGGCACAAGGGCGCTGTGTGGACGAGGCCGACCATGCAAGATGCGCCCCAACTTACACACCACGCCTCGTGGTCAGAGCCCTATCAAACACAAACGTGCACCACACACCATTCCATCAAACAAAGGCAAGAATGGCACGTGTGCACCGCCAACACGATCAGATGAGACGCCGACACAGCCGACCGGCACAGCCGCGGGGCGCTGCCATAGCGAGCGTAGCAACAGGCAAAAGCGAACCAGAGGTAGAGAGGGAAAGGACGACACTACCAGAGAGACCATCAAATTCAATGTTTCCAGCAAGCCAAAAATAGAGGCAAAAGCAGAGAGACACCTTCAAACCCAGCAGAGGCAGAGAGACACACGGAAAGACGCGTGGAATCAACGAGTTGCATCATGCCTCTTCTGTGTGTGTTGCATCTGTCTTACATCCACCTCGGTATATTCGCGTGTGGTAACTTTACAAACGTGTGTAGGAAATTCTACATTAGCGTGTGTGTTTTATACTTTCAATCCCCTCATAAAATAATCTTCACGTGTGGCTAAATCTGTTCTAACGTGTGAAATTACCACTGATGTGTATAGCCAGCATGCTGACAAGTGGCGCTGATGGTCCGAACGGCGCATTTTCTCTCTCTCTCTCTGTTTCTCTCTCTGTTTCCGACCTCTCTCGACCAGTGAACATGGCGTCGCCGACCAAGGAGCAAGTGGATCAGGTTGGTACAGTCCTCTGACTGGCAGAAGGTCTACGACCGCATATCCTGCCCCCGCTCACACACGCCGTGCTCATCATGGGGGGGCTTTGTAGGTGGAAGCCGACTTCAAGCAAGTGCAGGACGAGATTTGCGCCTTTCTCGCCAGCGCCGGGGCCAAGGCCTTTCGCGTACGTCTCCCCAGTCCTGGTTTGCCATCGTGTTTGCTTTCTGAAGAATGGCTTGCGCCCGGGGCTCACTGGCTGCCGACGCCGTGTCCGTTGCTGTTGTGCAGGAGGATGCTTGGGATTATCACAAGGGCGTCGGCGGTGGCCGCACCCGCGTGTGGGAGGTTGAACGTGTTCAGGCCGACAATACGCTACAGCCCGACCCCACCAACATGCCCATCTGGGAGAAGGGGGCTTGCAACTTTAGCGGCATCCAAGGCAGCGACCTGCCTCCCTCGGCCGTTCAGGCCTGGAAGTTGCCTGAAAACTGCCCCTACCGGTGAGTCGGTCCCCCAGATTCCGCCCGCCTTGCTTGCCACCATCCCGCACCAACCCCACGCAGAAAGCGGCCCTTGGCCCATGCTTTCTTCTTCTTTTTTTCTTTTTCCTTTTCTTTCCCCCTTTTTATTGTGTGTGCTGCTGAGTTTTGAATTCTTTCTCAATGACTGACTTGCTGCTTGACCGCAGGGCCACCGGCGTTTCCCTTATTATCCACCCATCCAACCCGTGGGTGCCGACCATTCACATGAACATCCGCTTTTTCATCTGCGGAGATCGCTGGTGGTTTGGTGGTGGCGTGGACCTCACCCCCTACTACCCCATTTTGAGCCAGGTGGTGGAATTCCATCGCCTGCTCCGTGAGCTCTGCGAAGAGCATGGCGTGTCCTACGACACGCTGAAGCAGCGCTGCGACGAGTACTTTTGGCTCGCCCACCGCAACGAGTCACGCGGTATCGGTGGTCTCTTCTGGGACAGCATGTCCGATGACTTTGAAAAGAACAAGGCATTTGCCATCGGCCTGGGCCGGCTCTTCATCAAGCTCTACGGCCTCTTTGTGGAAAACCAACGCCTCCCTTACACCCAAGCCCAGCGCGAGTTTCAGCTCTACCGTCGAGGCCGCTACGTCGAGTTTAACCTCATTTACGATCGTGGTACCCAGTTTGGCCTCAAGTCCAACGGCCGCACAGAGTCCATCCTCGTGTCCCTCCCCGCAACTGTCCACTACCAATACGACTACACTCCGCGACCGGGTACACCCGAGGGCTACCTCTACGCCCATTTCCTCAAGTTTCAAGACTGGCTCAACCTCGATCAGGCCGACCAAGAGGCCATGTCCCCGCCTCCCAACTACTGCCCCGCCCCCGCTGCTTCCATCCAGACCCGGCCAAGCTCTGGCGCCAAGTGCCCCTTTAGCACGTGCCCCTGCCCCTGCCCCTGTGCCAGCGCCGCTGGCAGCAATCGCTTTGGCTGCCATGCCCGCATTGCTTCCCACGCCATCACAGCCGGCGTCGTCCTTGCCCTGGGTGCCGCCTTCTATCACAAATTTCTCCGCCAATAGGGCTGCAAGCTTTGAGTGCTCAGTCCAGGCCGGGGGCCCACACTCGTTTCAGAAACACGGCCCATGACGTAGCTGTGGATTTTTTTTTTTTGTTTTTTTTTTTTATTGTCGTTCTTCTCCTTTGCGTCTGTTCCGAGAACCGACCAAGTCGGCTGTAGTCTTGTTGTGGATCATGAACAGCAAGTTGATTTATTTACATTCGGAAGCTAGCGTGATTTCTTTCCGCGAGCCTCACCCCGCTGCTCGTCCAATCACAAAGTACACCACTGAGCAAGACAACGGGCTCTTCCAGCACAGCTGGGCATGTATGGGGAGAAGGATCCTAAGATTATAATACACCTCACAGAGGCGAAGATGGGATGGGAAGAGGTCACGCACTATTCCGCCAGTTCAAGCCGGAATGCCCCTGGCTGGCTTGCACAGACAACGTCCTCATGAACAACAAACGCTTGCGGCCGTCCATTCGGCCTTGTCAACATAAACCTGGCGCAGATTGATGTTGATGCGATGCATTTGCATGTAGGTCACCAAGGCTGCCGTCCCGGCCTCCCCACCCAGCTCAGTGCCTTGGAGCGGGCAGCACGTCTCTGCATGATCAAACGAGTGAGAAGTGAGTGGAGTCATGAGAGATGGGTATTCCTTAAGGGTATTCGTGCAATGGGTCGCTTACCAGGGCTCAATTCAAACCAGCGAGCGGCTTCGCCTGGCGTAAGAATGCGGGGCACGGCGTGGTAAGCGAGACGGCTGGGCCCACTCATAATGACGAGATCCCCTGACTGCAACAACAGGGTTGTGGGGGCAAGGTCGTCAAGGGTTGCGCCACCAATCTGGAAGAGGGCTGGCAAGCCCAGGGACAAGGAAACCAGGGGTTGTTCTAGGTTAAACTCGCTGTGATCCGTGTGCGGGCCAAGGAAGGACTTGGGATGATAGTAGTTGATAATGCCAGCCTGCATGGCAACATCAGATGCCAAGCCCACGGCCCGGCATGCGGCGCGACCCAAGTCATCCAGGTCGGCGGGAAGGGGTGTGTGGGCATCGGGTTGATACACTTTGTTGGTCCAGTCGTAGTGGTATCCGATGGTAGTCCAAGTGAGCTGCTGCATCCAACGCGAGAAGGGGCCACTGCCATCGGCTGACGACTGCAGCTCACCACAGTATTCCTGCCAGAGTGTGCTGGCGCCGTGTATCCCTTGCTCATGCAGGTCCAAATTGGTCTTGTTGGCTGGAGACAAGTGCCTTTGCAAGCAGGCTGCCATGAGCTCGGTTTGTCGTGCCGGACTCAGCGCCCCAGGCAAGACAAACAAGCCTGGATGTCGCCGCAACTCGTACGCAAAGTGAGCGGATAGCTCCGTTTCTCGCAGCGTCAGAACCTGGCTGGCCCATTCGGGTGTCTCCACACCGCGGCTCGACGAATCCAAACGCGGAAGCTGAAGCACCTCCCCACGACGCTCCCCCGCACATGTTCGATGCTTCCAATACTTGTACACGGGCTTGAAAAGATTGTGCCTCCCCGCGTCCGGTGATGCCCTGAGCGCCGCCGCCGCCGCCGCCGCCGCCTCAGGCTCGGTCATCGTGCTTGAATGTAAGAAAAAAATGAATGAAATTCAAAAAAAAAATCGAAAAATTCAAAGAAAAATATCGAGAAATTTATGCTGTCGTCCAAGTTGGACGATTGGCATGCTCTGGTCGGCTGCTTGCTTGTTCGGCATCTACACCGAGGGCTGGCACAACAACTCTATGAATGCCTGACCTTCTCGTTCGTACATCGAGACCTAGACTTCGCAGACTGCAGTTAGGGCTGTTTTTAAAGCAAGGTTTATTGAGCGCATACCGTTTTCGTTTCGATCGATAGAATGGGGGCCACCAAGGCCTTGGGTTCTCTGTGGTCTCCTCCTTTAAAAAGCAAGGTCATGGCCTTGAAGCATACCTCTGGCCACATCAGCGTCCTCGAATGTTCTTAGTGGAGCAGGTACAGGTAGCAATCAAATTTAAAGTTGTTTCGCTTCGGAGTTGTGCGCAACAAGTTTGATGCGCACGTCTTGTAGGAACTTTACATTTACTTTATGGTTTTGTCCGATGCTCTGCCGGATTACTATAACAATAGACTTTCTTCGCGGCACTCGGTGTTGACCGAGAGTTGCGAAGGGCCTAGGGTTGGCAGACTTGACGCTGGCTCAAACTTCAATTGCGACAGGCACATTTGCAAGTTCAATAGATTCAAACGGTATAGGAGACAACGAGCTCAGGGTAAGTCTGCGCATTGTCAAACATGACCACCTCTCGGAAACCTTCTGGTGGTGCATCAATGATGGAATCATATCTATGGGGACAAGCAGACATGAATGAGGCAAAAGACAAAGACCTCTCCTCCAAATAGGCGTGGGTGATAGTGCCTTTTGCATGTCGGGGGGCCTGTTCGTGACACGGACTAAAGTGCGATCACATTATGACTGGAACGCACCGCTCATTGTTGGGCGCAAGGGGCAGAACCGGGGGAAGCTCACAAGACAGAGGCGCTCTATGGACATGAGTATGACCTAGCAATGCTCGTGTGATAATGAGCATGCGCTTGCTACCGGGCCCAGATGAAGCGTTTCGATGATGGCTCTACATTCATGTCGACACACACACACACACACACACACGCTGCGTCAGTTCAGCAGGGCTTTGATGAAAGACGACTTCAGATTTTAAGTCTCACCCTGCCAATGTCGTCGGCCAAGTAAATACCACGGCCAAATCGATGGCCGTCAAAGCCATAGTCAAGACCTAGGCGCACTATCTTGTCGCGCAGCAATCTGTCAGGGGGAATGCCATGAAGTAACAGGCGCTCTTGACAGGATCTATCTCGGAGCAAGGCTGGAAGGCCCGAGAGGGCGTCCATCGTGGCCGTCTGAAGTTGATTATAGTGCTCATGATTCGTGATGCGGTGCAACATCTCTCGTCGCTTCGCGCTGTAGCGCTCCCACAACACGGGATTCTCTACGCGCTCGACTCGTTGCACTGTCATGTTTGCTGGCCCTCGCCCATCGATGCTCAGCTGCTTCAACAGGTCGGTCACCTAGTCCCACATTGCGTTCAGATCAGCCTATGCGTTGGCAAGCGCAAGCCATTGTCCGGCAACGCACCTCAAGAATGAGCTCGGGCGCGTCGCGCAAAACATCTATGGCAGGCCCGACTTGGCCGGCGACAGGTCGCTGCGCCAACTGTCCGGCACAGAATAGGCTTGGCCGTTGCTTTGGATCTGTTGCAAGCAAGGCCCGCGTTTCCATTTGCAAGTCGCTCCTCAAATCGCACATCTGCAAACAAGACAAACAAACATTAAAGAGAGAAAACAGCCGCGAATGGAAGGAATTTGACAAGCATGGTGAGCTTCCCATGGGCCGACCCTGACAGATTCAGCCAAAAAAATGACACCGACCTCAGCGGCCAAATGCGGAAAGCTAAAGGTGCCATCGCTCGCGTCTATGCTCCATCTGCATTGATCCGCAACCTCAAATATCCATGGGTGAGCAGGTGGCACCGTCTGCGGGAACATGTAGGTGTTGTAGAGAACACAGCCAAAGGAAAAGGCATCCTGCGCCGGACGTGCGCCCACCCGGCCGTCACCAAAAAGGACCTCGGGGGCGACGTAGCCTAACGATGCAGTGGCGGTGCAGGATAGCATCATGGCTTCGGCTGCGGCCTTGGCAATGTCAAACGCGCCGAGCCGCACAGTAGGCTGGTCCTCCGAGCCGTCCAACATCACGTTGCTCAGCTTGATATCCCGGTGCACCAAGCCCTTGCTGTGCACAAAGGCCAGGGCCGTGCGCAGTTGATTCATCAAGCCTGCAATCACGGTCGAGGTGGCCAGATGTCGAGCCGTGCTCAGCCACTGCTGCAGATCACCCTGCGCACACCACGGCTGCACCAGGTACGCGCACGCGTGGCCGCTGTGCACGTCCACAAACGCGCCGAGGAACGGGATGATGTTTGAGTGCGCAAGCTTGCGCATGGCACGCAGTTCACGCAGAAACGTCCGGCATTGATCTTGCTTGTGCTGCTGGGCGAATGCGTACTCCTTCACCGCCAAATCTTGCTCGGGCTGCTCTGGCAGCGCTGCGCGGGCTTTGTACACCTTGTGGTTTTGGTTATACTGGAAGTCAAGCTGGCCGAGACTGAAGAGAGTCAACGACGGGTCTACTTCGGCCATGGCCTCGAAGATGAGATTTTGCGGAAGGCCGGGGCCAAGCACAGAGCGGAGTCGCGCTCCCAACCTGCTCTGCTCCGGGCGCAAAAACACTAGCAAGGCCGGAAAGTGCTGGTGGAGCAACCGGGCCAATTCTGTTCCATGGTCGACGTGAGGTCGAGCTGAAAGATGCTGTTGCAAAGTGGCGCGTCGCTGTCTCAGCTTATCAAGTTCTTGCTGGAGTGTGGCACGCACAGCTTTGGGCACGAGCTGCAGAGCCGCTCTGCTGTTTTGAATCTCAGTCTGCAGTTTGGTTAACTCTGCTTGGGCAGCGAAAGACTCATCATGGACGCCTACAGCTAGGCTATCCACATGGTGAATGCACGAGATCAACACGGACAGCGTGGTGGCCTGCCAGTTTAGCATGTCGTGCAACTGCTGCT